CCTAGGAGGAGTTCGATTTAGAAAATGGCCAAAAATGGCCATTTTTCAGCAAAAAATGGCCCGGCATGGTCACCGTTTTTCCAACATGGCGGATTTCCTGTCGGGTTTACAGAAACATGCTAATGGACTTTTTTTGTGCATCACAAGTTGTTACATATGTGTAGCAAATGTAATAGTTGTAAATCAAACATAGCCCCAATGGGAATCTGTTGAAATATTGTAGGGGGCGCAATTGAGCCGTGTTGCATTTTACAACTTGGCCCAGCCTGACTTTTTTATTCATCCTGACCTGCTCTATATGCCTACAAAATTGCGTAGCTCTAGGCCAAATCTGCTTTTGACAATTTAGAAGGTGGCGCTGTGGAGCAATTTTTCTATTGAGGTGTGTATTGTTCTTCCAAATTATAAAATTTTTCACCGGGTCTGATGTACATGGCAATTTTGGTGAGTTTTCGAGTATGTTTAGGGCCTCAAAAACGCGTGTCTTTGGCACGAATAATAATAATAATCCGAGCAGTTCCAATAGGGTCTTCGCATCCTTTTGGGTGCTCAGACCCTAATAAATGGACTTAAATGGATAACTTTCTCCTGGTCTTCAGTATGAGAAACTTTGCCCCCCTGTGGTTCAGTGCGACTGTCTAGTGCTGTTTGAAATAGCCGCTACACTATTTTATGTTCCTTTGTAAGTACACTGTTTAAGTGGGATGTTCTACCCAAAGTTTAGTTAGTTAATGCTCTCCAGTAGGTTTAACTAAACTTTAATAAAGGCAGGATTTTAGGTAAGATGAGAAATTGTAAGATGCAAAAAAAATATTCATACTCATGTCATCTTTTGATTTATAGTGGATTTTGAATTTACCAATAGGCTTCTTCTGGCCTGAAATGACATAGACATACACTTCCTCAGTATTCCTGGGAACAGCCTGTATCTGCCGCCACAAAGTAGATAAGATTCTAGAGTAAAGCATCAGGCAGTCTGCAGAAAATCCAGGCTCAGGGCAGCAATGGACCTTGAAGATCTGAAAGTTGCAGCCAAAGTGGTGAAGAAACGGTTAAATTATAACAAAATCAACATGTTGGAGTCATCGAGGCAGAGTCCAGCCCCTGGTTTAAACTAGAGTCTGTGGAGGAATCTCAAGATCAAAATGACGAGGAAGCTGTTCATCCTCAAAGACGTCGAGATTGTCACGAAGCAGCTCAAAATCCAATTATGTTAATCTGTTTGATTGCTTTAGCAGGAAAAAAAAGGCTTAGGCTCTGATTCCTGAGGAAGAGTAAAACATTTTGGACCTGGAATTTTAACACAAAGTCTAATATGTCACTCTTCATTTGTAGCCGGAACTTATTGGTCAAATGAAACATCACTATAAATCTGTATTTGGTCTGAGTGTGGATCATTTCAGGCTTGTTGAAAAGCCTCTCGGTCATCAGTGTTTTGTTGTTTCTGTACATTCATGGACGTAGGTTGCTTACTGAACAAACCATTTGTCCTCCTTTTCCTCACAGGATGGTCGGCCTCCCTGCAGGCATCATCGGTTTCTTCCTGGCTAAGAGACAAGTGGACAAAAACCGACTGAAGCAGCTGAAGATCCGACAGAGGATGAAAAGATCAAATGAAGGAGAGTACGAAGGAAGCCGCTACCGCTACCATTCAGAGATCAAAGTGGACCGATAATGCTCGCATATGGCAGCTATGATCTGAGGTCATATCCTGCCTAAAGACTGAATAAAAATGCAGAAGTATATTTAAACAGGAATCATCACTGGACAAATGAACCACAGCAAAGCTCACAAAGAAGAATCTTTATTTGATATGAAACAGATTCTCTTCAGCATTGATATGCATATTTACAACCTCTTACACCCACACATCTGTGCTGTACATTCAAAATGTTTTCAGTAAAGACTTATACGTAGCTTTGGTTTCGGGCTGTATTTGTACTAAGCTGAGGACCAGCTGGGTGGAGATGATTGTTTCGGGAACATTTTGGACGCTGCCACGTTGGCTGGAACCGCCTGGTCTTCAGAAATGTTCCAATAATGTAACACCTTGGCACTGATGGCGACGTCCTGTGTGGAAAACTCCACCCTGCTGGTGCTCGCTGTCTGACCCAAATCTGACTGTAACCGAGCGCTGCAGAAACAGGCACATACTGCATGTAACAACACTATAAAAGCTTATCGGTTATAACCCTGCACGTTGTAAAGTAAAAAAACGTCTCCTCAGAAACACGGTGAAGGCACTTTAGTGATGGAGCATGTAAAGGGGTACAATGTAAGGTTTTAAAGGTCATCAGCTGATCTGAGGCTGCAGCACTGAGCTGTAAAAAAAGGTACGCCCAAGTATCGACTCTGCTCATACTAAAGTGACTCAGGATCAAATCTTGTGGTATCGTCCACCCCTACTGTACTTCAAAACCTTCTAGAGAGGTGTCGTGTGTGTTTTGCCCATTTTCTCGACTTCTATACACATCAGAAACAGTTAATTTATAATAATACATGTACATGCAGAGAAAAACGTTCAGTTTCTACTTTAAGTCCAGCAAGAGGGAATACATGATGCAGCCAGCATTCCAACGTCTTTCCACATTTATATTATACTAATATTATCTATTAACCACTACACAGTTGCTTAAAGTAGATCTAAACAAATATAGAGTTGAGAAAAAAAGTGCATTTTTGGTGCACAGGTTTGACCTATGCTGTAGCAAAACCTCAAATTCAGCCCTTCGGACTTTTTCCCTGGAGTGTCTCGTGATTTTTTTTTAGAAACATTTTGCAGATTTTTACTGAAAAAGCAAAGGTTTTAAATAGCATGGAATGATTGTAGGCGCTCGCCGCTTCTCCAGCACCCAGCGGTGAAGCCTTATTTGGTGGAGGCGCCGATAATTTGCAGCAGGAACAGGAAGATCTGGACGATGTCGACGTAGATGGAGAGCGCGGCGAACACGTATTCCTCCTCGCTGATGGAGTGCTTCCTGTTTCCTATCAGTAGCTGCGTGTGATACGCCAGGAACTAAGTAAAGAAAACAGCCAAAAAATTAGCGCGTCAAGTAAACCTACAATAACTACACACCAGTAAACGTGAAGTCAAACACTCACCATGGTGAAGGCGATGGCCCCTAAAGCTGCATAAAGCATGTGAAGCCACAGCATCTGCAACGACATGCAGTCATTAGGAAACATGGAAACCTGAAACACTGTCAGGAAAAACATGACTTTTTGTTGTTCACATCAGCTCTGACTCACATATTTGAAGGAGAGCACAATGGCTGTAATGATGCCAGTCACGAACATCACGATCCCAAGGACACAGAACAGACCCTGGCACTTGGTGAAGTCGACCTAGACGGACAAATCACAGGCGGGCGTGTTGGAACACGTGTGGCTGACCAAACACGCTGCGGCCATTTGAAGCTGATTAGCAGTCTGACACACACACAAACACACACATATACACACTCCTACCTTTGTCTGGAAGCAGAAGACGGTGACGGCGATGCAGACGACGGCGGTGATCCCCAGAGCGAGAAACACTGCTTTTGTGTCGTAGTAACTAAAACCAGAGAAGAAGAAAAAAAGATAATACTGAGGAAACTTATGTGTCTGGAGGGTGGAAGTTTTTTACTGTTTGTTTTTTATTACCTGGATATGGATCCAGTCATGTAGGACAAAGCCAGAGTCTGCAAAGAAAACAGACAGAATTATTGGAATGTAAATAAACAGCGACTCTATAAACTCTATTGTCCATATATAGAGGAAAAGAGAAAAAACACTATGACTGATTTAAACATCTGTGATCATAAGACAATAGAATACAGAAAAACACTGGGGTTACCTTAAACAGTAACACACTATGTAATCATAAGACACAATAAAGTTAGTCGTCCTCAAATGTATTCATCTCCTTCCATTAAAGAAAAGGCAAAACTCACAATAGTCACTCAAATAACTAGAAACTGAAAAAAGTAATAAGAAATAAAAATTTGATAAATTGTAATGTAGTGAAATAAGACATTGCTTTTGAACTGTGGTTGAAAAGAATCATTTAAAAAAAAAATGTCCCAGATAAATAAGAGCACTTTGCTGATGAGCAGTGAAATCCAAACACCTGTCAACAGGTGCAGAAGTCTGACTGAGAGTCACAGAAAACACTTGATGGCAATGATTGGCTCAAAGGATTGTTCAACTAAATAGTAGTTTAGAGGTCCCATCATGATTGTTTGTTTTTTTTTGTTTGTTTGTTTTTTTAATATTTCAATTCAAAAGCGATGTCAAGATTTTCATTACATTTTTATTCATTATTACTTTTGTCAATTTCAGCTTATTCCAGTGACAGCTGTTTTTTTCCTTCTTCAATGGGAGGGTATGAATACATTTGAGGACAACTGTAAATTTAAACTGTTAAAAATCTGGTATAACAACAGCAGTAGAGGGGTTTTGCAGTTTTTTTTTAAGGCAAAACTTAAACAAGTCTGCCGCATCGATTAGGAAAGCCCACCTCTATCAAATGACTAAATGAGTGCATAAAGTAACACACAGTCATTTTGCCGTCAGAGCTGATAAAACAGAAACACACAATGCCTCAAAGTCACTGTGCAAACAGCGTCTGAGCCACATGTGGTGACTCACTGCTCAGCTCTGGTGATATGTGTAGCGCTAAGACGGCACAACCAGGTTCCAGAGAAAGCTTCTAGTCTAAGAATAGATTTGGTGCAATTCGAAGAAACTGTCATATGTTCATAAGTCAAACCACAAGTTGCCTGACTTACAAAGATGGTCAGCAGGATGACGTTCCACGGAAACTTCCTCCTACGATGAAAGCAGAGGTAGAAGAAGAAGCATTCAGAGCCTTTACTGGAGTAAAAGTATCGATACAGCAAAGTAGAAGTACTCCATTACAAGTATCAGCCCCAAGGAAAAGATCTGGTGCCTCTGACTGATATATTAACATTAGATGTGCCATCCTTATGTTATTAATAGTGAAGCATCAGTGTTTTAGCAGCATGTTGCCGTTGGAGCTGCTGCCGGTTTGAACTATTTCATATTCAAATCTGAGGGCTTGTCAAAACAAAGGTCACATATCTCAGTTTTTTGGACTTTTTTTAATCTTATTTGATCATTTCAACATCTAGAAGGTGATTAGAGGGGAAAAAAACAGCAGTTTGGTTGAGCTGCTACCAACTCAGACATCTGAAATGTGACCTGCCTAAATGTAAGACTCCTTAAAGGTTAGAAATCACTGATTGAATCCAAATTTTCTCTTTGTAAAATCAAGCGCTCGCACTCACCGGGGGCCCTTACAGCAGACCAGCACAAGGTGGGTGATGAAATATACGGCGCTGGAATAGAAAAATAAGCAGATATTCATGTATTAACATTTGCAAAGTTATGATTTTTGATTCTGGTGTAAGCACAGAGGGAGACTTACTATGACGCCCAGTACACCGCTTGGTTTCGCTGTACGAAGCTTCTGACAGGTTGGCTGTGAGGAGCAGAGCACGCAGTTAAAAATCAGGACACACACACAGACACACTGACAAACAGCAACACAAAGTACACACTCGGTACACTCACACGAACGTGAAAATGGCCACAATGGCTGTGGTGACGAGCAGCTGAGACGCCAAGATCAAATACACCTGAAAGACACAGACGTTATACAGAGATCATTAAAAGCACAGTTTGTCTCTTGTTCATGCTGTATGAAAAAAAAGAACGTTTTACCGCACAACGGCAAGAAAAAGGAAATTTGTGGCATCAGCCTGCAGCGTCGGTGTATCACTAGTATTCAAGGGGGAGAATAAAGACAATCCTACTGCCATCGACTCGTTAGAGGGGCTGACCACAGGAGAACAATAAAATGCACCCATCAATTACATCTTATATTTAATCTGAATAAGTAAACATCAGTCCAATCAAATCTCACATGCAGATAACCATTAAATCAACAGTCCTACTATAAATCAAATCAAATGTTCCTTAATTAAATAAGTAGCTCACGGCAGAATTTTGTTTTGATTGGCAGCATGGCGGCCTTGTGGCCAATCACATTGGAGGATTTAGCGCCACAGCTTCTGTTAGAATGGAGATGCGATGCTATCTTGAGGAGCCCCCTCATCCAAAGATCAGAAGAGCCACTGAGCTTGAAATGAACTGCTCTAGAGGACCCCTGTCATAGCTGACCATTCAAGAAGTAAGGCCTTTATTTATCACACACACAATTATAGAGTGTAGCACACAGTGAAATGTATTATGCACCTGTTCCAGACCGAAGCCCACTGAAA